CACTGTGCAAATGCACAAATCCATGCTTGCATTTTGTGCTCACACACACACATGCACAGTATTGCAAATTTGTTCACACAAAAAGAAACCACCAGGTTCAGAGACAAACAAGCCTCTGCTTTTAACAAATTTATTTATATATGCTTGTGACCAAGTCATCCCACATGATTTTACTAGGCACTTTTCCTTGTGCAGAATGTTTACAAAACAATCACAGGACAAATCAACAAAACCAAACATTGGTAGTTTCAGGTACTTCCTGAAAGCCATATGGGCTATGAAACTGAAAGTCAAGGCCAAATCCACAGCAATCCATGTGTTTACTGGGCTTTGCCTTCAAAGCAATGAGTCATATGATAAATGCACTGTGCAACACTAGACACAATTCTGTAGAGACAGGTCTTTTGCTTTAATTTTTAATTTCCATTTTCTGTGGGTTTAGATAAACCATGAACATTACTTTAGTATAATCCTTTGCAATGAATCAATACTCTAATTTAATAATGGTATTCTGTTGTCAACATATAATATATCATATAATGTCCTTGCATAGATGCAAAAAAATATGCCAAATAAAATTCAAAGCTTTGCTTTCACCAGTGATCACAGGTTAAATCAATGTAATGACAAGCTCTACAGTCCCCAGAAGAATTTCCTTCAGGGTTAAAAATCAGCATGGAATAATTTCAGCCATATCCCTCTCACTCATCATGCCAGTGCTGCACAAGCTCTTCTAGGTCATAGGATTCCAACAATTACGTTAATGAAGAGAAGAGAGACTATATCTGAATAGAATCAATGTACATATCTAACTGAGTCTTATTTAAATATTCCACTTTATGAATTCAGTGATAGCTGGTCTAGTCCCTAAATGTAAAGAAGATTAAAAATAGAAAATGGAATTAAGTCCAGAGTCCTCTAACTTAATTGAAACAGATGAAGCAAGTTATAGCTGTAAAATATGAAAAACAAATTGCAATAACTTTTACTTCAGTGATGTGGCTACATGTCTGTATTTGTTATTTTTATCTTGATGGTAGCCTTCCTGTCAACAAGCATCTAAGACAGGAAACACAATTCTAATCATGTCCGTGGTACTGACCGAATGTATGCAAATAGAAAATAAGTGAGAATGAAGAAGCAAATGCTCTTAAAACTCCCAGTTGTTTTTCTCAGTATTTTTTTCCAATTCAACAGCTTTTGAAGCATTTAAAATTGGTGGATAACTGACATATTAATCTCAGTTAATGGCAAAGGAACGTGCTCTGCAGTCACGTGTGCTTCCCTCGGTTCAATGACAGCTCCCGCTCGTCATGCCAAGCGTTCACAATCCATGTCATTTGCTGGCAGAATGCTTCAGAGCTCTGGGAAGAGTAGGTCTGGTTTTACTACGGCTTGGCACCTCCCACAACACCCTCCAGTTGGTGAAAACCCCGCAGTTCCATCTAAGTGTCATCCTTAATGCGAAAAAGATATTTGAGTCAGTGCAAAATAAAACAAACAGCTTTTACCAAAATGTCAGTGCTGGTAGCAGTGCATCTGCCAGATGCTTGTTACTTGAACCCATGCTGTGCATAACAATCAGTCAGAGATATGACGAGGATAAACGACTGGACCAGAAAATCTTTAACAGGAAATCAAAGTATACTCAGACTCCCAAAAAAAAATTGGTTGCAACTGGACTTCACAAGATATATTGATTAAGTGTTCTGTAACATCTCTTTTCTTGGTTACTATGCATTAGTTGAGCCCCACCTGCCCGACCTCAGTTCTCTGCATTAGCCTTTGGTCATATGAACACAAGAGAAACCACAGTGCTATTTCATAGCTGAATTCACACAGGAATTCTTTTAAGTACGGTATCTCAATTTAAGGATAATAACATTACTGAAGAATCCAGAATACCATGAAAAACGCATATTGGAAAAATCAGGGCATGACTCTTTAGAAATGAAACCAATGGCTTGATAAAAATAAAACCTCCCTAGCACGTTCCAGCCTGTTGGTTGATTTTTTTTCTTTTTTGATTTACAGGCTGGAATATCCTTCTAAATTAGTGACTGACTTTTACACTGAGCATTGGATGAAGAGGCTTAGGATGAAAAAGCATGGTTCATATGTGATCATGGAAAACATATGCAGACACAAGATGCAGAGAGATATCTGATGAGTAAGTGGCTTTTGCTTAGTCAGAACCTGAAGGATCTTCATCAAGAACTTTCAAAACAGCTAACAGATAGTTTGACTTTGAGTGAAACACAACCAAGAATTATTGTCATTATGCACACCCACAAAAAAAAAAAAATTCAAAAAAACCCCCCAAAAGAAAGCAAAAAAAAAAGAAAAAGCTTTACCAACACTTATTCAGGTGGGCAATCATCTGGCTTCCTGGAGAAATAACTCCTGATTTGCCTTCCATTTTCCTAAATCCTACTTTGAGCCCATTTGAATATTTAAAACAATTAAATAAACTACAACACAAAAATTGTATAAATAAAGATAGCTGTTTCTTTTCTTAAAAGCTGTGGAATGTTAAATAACCTATGACTCCTGCCCACATATGTGCCTTGCCAAGCCAGAGGATGATACAAGGGCATGCCCTGTTTTGAAGATTTATCGTGTCAGATTTGTATTCACAAGGTACAACAGGATCCATGACTTTCATTTCAATAGCAGCTGGAACAACAGGCACAGAAGGAACATGCAGCTCAACCTGGGAAATTAGGATGAATTTAAAAAAAAAATCCCTTTCTTACTGAGAGCTGTTAGTGGCAGACACAGACACTTGCTTTGAGGTCACACCATGTCAGCAGTTCAAAGCACAAAAAATTGCGATTCTTCTTTTCTCCCCCCACAGTGGATACTGCAGCCTCAAAGAATTTTACATGTATCCTTAGAGATGCTTGTATGTATCAGGAGAGTACAGCTGTAGGCTTTAAAAAACACGTTCATATGCCCTACAAATTCAAATCTTTTTTTATGTAATCTATTTAATCTTCCATTAATGATAATCTCTGCTATCAATGTGCCCAAACAGGCTCAATTTTTGCTGGATTTGCACTTCTTGCATTTCCATCCTATAACTGAGCTGCATTTAATGAAGGGAAACACCCTGCTGTAAAAGGTATTAGCAGCCTCCCTAAAACAAAAAATAGTTAGAAAGCTCTGCCAGGAACGTTTCAAGATTGTGGTTTTTCTTCTTCCTTTGTGTGTGTCTTGCATAGAGGAGAGTCCTGCCAGCTGAACATTATTTATTAATCAGGACATTCCTGCCTTCTATAGCTTGTAAGGAGACAGCCTGGAGGGGCAGAAATTGCTGTACATTTCTCTTACATATCCAACGAGACAGAAAGGGAAGCAAGGAAGAGATCACAAGGGAGCATTTGGACCCCAACAGATCCCACCTAGCAAGCCCAGGCAGATGCACACACATACATCACAGCAGTTTGAAGAACCATGTAGCATATCTGGTTCACACAAGGATTAATGGACATATAGGTTGAAGATCTGGCTTCATTTGCTGCTTTGTTTTTAAGAAGTGCACTATACAGCTTCCCACACCTGAGTGAAACAAGCTGCATTGAGCTCCACAAAAGATTTTCTTTCTGGTAACTTCCAACTACCTTAGGTTCTACCTACAGAACGTGCAGGCTTGGACACAAGTGTAAGGGCTGCTTCTCCCCCAGTTACTGTGGCACACATAAGCAAAATGAGTTATTGCCTTGCTAGCTCTTCTGATTTAGTAATAGTCTCATTCGTAATCATTCCCAGCCATCCGCCACCTGCACACCCACCCACCCACACATACACATCCAATTTGCTGTTCTTCTCCCAATTTTGTCAATTCACAAGATCAGTTTGCACTTCCTATCCTCTCTGCCCCAGTGCTTATGAACAAATACACTTAATAGACAAAATAGAGTTCATACTGATTTCCGACAAAATCCTCCAGCAGAACACCCCTACATTAGCATACAAAAGGGGAGCCCTGGGCTGTAAAAGGGGTTCAATTGAACTGACTTTCCCAGCAGCAGCAAGAGTTAATGGAGGACACCCGGCTTTTCACTTCCTCTACTGCATCCAAGAAAGCTCAGAATACTATAATACAGTCTAATTGAGCATTTCACTAAACAGCATCTCACACACAGAAGTTCTTTTGGCAAAAATTGCATTTGTCCTAAGTAACCTTTATGAGAAGCTGAAAGTTGATGCAGCCAGACCAAATGAATTTTCAGCTTTAGCCCGAATCCTTAGGTTTGTGCTTGGGAGGGTGGGAAGAACCAGCCACCAAGCATCAATCGGAGAACTAGCCCCCTCCTCTGCTTAAAAAAAAAATAGTCAGTTACGGCAACACGGAGCTGTGGCTACACACGGGAGCCGCCAAAGCGCTGGGATGGGTCTGCATATCCGCGGGGTGCCCCGGGCTCCTTCCCAGCAGAGTTGGCCGCAGCTCCATCAGGAGCCGGACACGGGGACGGGAGAGCATCCCTGCGGAGCCCGCCCTCGTTTCGAGGGAGACGAGCGTGCGAGAAGCCAAACTCCGTCACCGGCAGAGAAGCACATGCACAATCCAGCCCGCACCTGCTGGAGACCACTCTCTCTACACTGCCCCTTGGGGGGATCATCACTGGTCCCTCTCGCTCAGACACCCCCAGCATCTCCTAAGTACTTTTCGCAGACCTGCCTAGAAGGGAAAGGGGGGATCGGCAGCCTTCCTAAAACCACACTGAAAAGCAGTCCCCTCAAATGGCTGCTCCTGCCTCAACATCCATCACACAAGCAGGGAACTTGCCGGGGGTAAAAAGGGGGCGCAAGCAGGGAAGGGAGAAAGAAGCGCAAACTTCGGAGCTCTCCGGCTTCCCGCACGGCAGCAACCGCACGGGAACGACACGGCGGCCACCTCTGACCGACGCATCGCCCCGGCCCGACCCCGCCGGGGCTGGACGGGGCGAGGCGCGCACCGAGCGGCCCGAGGGCGCGGGGCGGCCGGCGACACTTACGGGTTTTGGGGGTCGTGCTGGCCTCCGGCGTGGTGGTGGTCGACTCCTGGAAGGGAGACAAGGTCCAGGACGGCGCCGAGTCGTGGACGTAGATCTTGTAGGAGGAGGTAGCGTGTGCCGCAGTGGGCCAGGCGGGCAGCGGCGGGGTGCTGGGGGCGGCGGGCGGCGGCCGGGCGCCGCGGCCGGCGGTGCCGGGGGGGCCGCTGGCGGGCGGCGCCGTGTGCGGGGACACGGGGTGCCTGGCCGCGGTGGGCCGCGGGCCGCCCCGCGCAGGGCCGCGGGTGCCGGGGGGCCGCGGGGGAGCCCGGCTCATGGTGGTGAGGCGGGGGCTGACACGGCTGGGCGGCCGCGGCGTGGCGGCGGCGGTGGTCTCCGCGCCGCGCGGGGGGGCGGTGGGCTTGGAGAGGAAGAAGGGGTCCTGCCCCACGCCCTTGGCGTCCATCAGCTCGGTGGGGACGTACTCCTTGACGGAGCCCACCACGATCCACTTGAGCAGCATGAGGCTGAGCCCCAGACCGATGAAGCCGATGAAGAGGGGTACCACGCACAGCCACGTCTGCTGCCGGTTCCAGACGATGCAGTCGCTGCAGCGCAGCTCCCGCGGCGGTCCCCCGGCCCCATCCCCGCCCGGGCCCCCCGCCGCAGCCGCCGCCTCCGCCGCCCCGGGCGCCGCGGCGCCGGCAGCCCCCTCGCTCATCCTAGGGGCCGTCCGCAGCGCCGCCGCGGCCCCGGGGCATCAGCGCGCCGCGGCTGCCGGCGGCATGCGGCGGAGGAGAGCGGAGGGGAGCGCGGCGCCGTGCGGAGCGGGCGGCGGGAGCGCCCCGCTCAGTCACGCCGCCGGCACGGCATGCCCCGCGCCGCGCCGCCCCGCGCAGCCTCCCGCGGCCGCGGAGTCAGCGGGACGGCCGCGCCATCCGCCGGGTGCCCGACTCTAGCGCTGCTCGCTGCAGCCTCGTCGCTCTTCTTCTTGTCCCTCCGATATAAGGTTTTTCTTTTCTTTCCCTTTTTTTTTTTTTTTTTTTTTTTTTTTTTTTTTTGTTTTGTTTATCTTTTAATTTTTTTTTTTTTTTTTTTTTTTTCCGAGTAATAAGTCGCAGGGATCAGCCTCCTCGGTTTATTTCTTTTTTATCCCAAGCGTGCGGCTCCGGCGACGTGCAGGTACATTCCTTCACATTCACGCACCTTCTCGCCTTTCCTCTCCCCTCGGGGCTTGGGGGATCCTTTCTTTCCGTCTTCCTTTCCTTCCTTCCCTCCCCCGCCCGCTCGGCTCCTGCCTATGCCCGGCCGCGGCGCAGCAGCATCCCTCGGCGGCTCCGCGGGGAGGCGGCGGCGCGGCGCAGCGCACCCGCCACTCCGCGGCCCCGCGGCCAACCCGCGGCCGGCGCCGGGCCAGGGAGGCCGATCCGCGGGCGGGGCCCGGGCCAGGAGGCACGGCTCGGCACGGCTCCGCGCAGCTCCTCCGCGCCCGCGCTAAGTCCGGCCCGGCATCAAAACTCCGACGAGGATTCCCGAAAAAAAAAAAAATAATGAAAAAAATTAAATAATCCACACGCACGCAAAAAATAAAAATTAAGATGAAACCCTGGAGGGGAGCGGCAATGACCCAGTCGGCAAAAAAAAATATACGGATCCGGCAAGTAAATGGGCACGCAAAGGCAGCTCCTGCCAAGCTTGCAGCTTCGGCTCGATTGTGTATTCCTCTGGCAGCGCCGCGGAGGCAGGCGAGCGCGCACCGAGCAAGGCGCCTCCCACCAAAGCCTAATGGTGGTTTCTTAATGCGCACAAGATAAATAAATGATCCAGGCAAACCCCTCGGGAGGGTGTATGCTACGGCAACCGGAGCCTAGGAAAGAAAGGAAAGGAAGGAAAAAGGAAAGAAAAGGAAAAGAAGAGATAAAGGGGCGGGGGTGCGGGGTGGCGAAGCTCCCGAGCCCATCCTGTGGTAGCGATCCAGCAGGCTGGTGCTGCATGGCAGCAAAGACCTGCGCGCAACGAGCGGCGCGGGGTGCGGGTGCCGCGGCGGGCGGACACCGCTGCGAGGGAGCCCAGCGAGCGCCAGGGCTCGGGACAGGGGTTCTCCCACCTTGATGCTACCCGACAGGCATCACCTGGCAGCATTTTGTTGCTCTTGTTTCTAATGGGATTCGCTAAAGAAACCAAAACAAAACACAACAACCCACCACACGCCTGCAAGAAAAGGACACTTGATGCAGCAGCTGGGGAGAAACTGATGGCACAGCATCACACTGAGGTTGCCAGACAAGTTTTGGTATATTAACTGGTTTATTTGGCTGCACCAAAGTTGAATTTACAAGTTCAGCGTAGTCAACAATGGGTGCTTTCACTTATTGGACAAACATTCCACCAACTAGGTGGTCACTGAAGGGTTAACAGCAGTTTGCCAAAGGTGACTTAAATCCCAATTTTCAAAATTTTAGAGAATGCTCTATATGCATATATGCTCTATATGCATCTACAGATGTTGTTAACCATTTCTTCTAACCTGTTACCTTATTGGTATCCTTTTCTGGTATTGATGCATAGATATCATTTCTTTAGTCACATAATTAAGGGTATTGATATTTCTACCAGATAAATGAGTGGAAAAGTTGGAAACAATCTATGAAATGCGTTTGTTCTGTGTATAAAGAGACAAATAGAGAAAAGAAAATATTGCAACTGAAACATACATGCTTGATTTTTTCCTCCAGAATGAATGTTAATACCATTTAAATTATCACTATTACATTAACTAGATATCTAGATTATTGTCACTTCAAGAACTCCCTCTGGAGTTCCTAAGATAGCAGTCCTAGTGTATCCTCTGAGATAGTTCTGTGCTAACAGCCCTCAGGAAGATCTGTGGAAGTGGTTTATCAGGCAAGAGTACTATTTAAACACTTCAAAAAATCCCCCCCCCCCCCCTTTGGCATTGGAAAACATGAATTTAGGGGTTTCTACTCCTTTAGTGAAGAGAAAAAAGGATTAGGAGAAAGAACTTAGAAAGAAGCACAAATGGATGCCAAACAAGGCAAAAAAATGAGAAAGATGGAGAAGTCTTGCAAATCCAGGAAATGTTTTTCACTGATTTTATGGAAATCTGGAACCAGGTGCTTTTAGTTGTGACTGCCTGTCCTACAAAGTTCTCACCTTCTTTGTAAGCTTGGAATACCTTTGTCCTGCTATGTGCTTTGTGTTGCCTTTAAAAAGGTCCTTTAGCTCTTGCCTCTTCCATAACCATATTGCAGTTCACTAAGCCCAGTATGAATCACTCTATTTTCATCCTCAAATAATTTGTACGTGCTTATTGGAAGAATAAAAATGTTTTACAACACTTACATGACAGAGAGCTTTTATTTTTCTCACGACTATGTCCTGAACTTTTTCAGAGTTTCATAAGTCTCAACTGCACTTCTTCACCCACTAAGGTTCTGAAGATACCAGCTCCTAAATTTTGCAATGGTTCTAATGGAAGACATGAGGATGTGATACCATTAACATCACTCAAGTGTAGTCATTTGTTTAATATTGGAGGACTTCCTGTATTATTAGTAAAGATTTTCAGGCTTCTTTTCTTACAATTTCCCATTCTTATTGAAGGTTGACAAACTATTCTTGAAATTGATTATGGAAAGCTTTCAATGTGCCTTACTTGAGTGAATTACTTAAAAACAGCCATTACCCTAATATATTAATTAAGTTCCTACCAATGACTATTAGCCTCTTGGAAAAAATTCTTTTGTCTAAAAATATGAAATGGATCTTGATGCAAGAACCTTCCCTTAACCTCATATTAAATGCAAATGTATTTCAAATAGGTTATCCTACAGTTAGAAAAAAAAAGTCATTCATCTAGACAGACACCTTAATGAAGGCAATGTCTTCCTGTAATGACTTAGTCATGAGTTAAAATGTTATGAAGTATACAAAAACACAGTCTATGAATGCTTTTAGGTTATTTCTCTGTCCTTAAAAATTAATATTCAAATCATAATCAGCTTCTCAAATCAGCCCACTCTTGTTAAACTGAATCTGTTCCATGCATTAATTCTAATTTACGTAGGTATTTGGTAACTCTCACTTGCATTTCTTCCTACTCATTTTGTATCATAGCCCAACTCCTTTACTTTTTCTGGAAATATGTTTATCACGATCAGAAAACAATATGTAATTTGTTTTTCTTGACTTTTCTTCATAATATGCAAAGAAATCTGTAGTATCTCCTTGAGGACATCTGTGACTGGAGTGGATTAAAATTACTTATCTATGGTGGAGTCAGAAGTGGTATTTTTGTAAGGAGTGGTGTGATACATGTAACAGGTGTGCAATTTTTGCATGTATACCTTTGTTTGTCACAGGGGGTTCTGCTCTGGCTGTCAGTAGGTATGGCCCAGCTAATGGTTGTGCTACAAAGGTGCTGTTCCTGCTTGGCTTCACACGTGCTTACAGCCATTATTTCAAATAATGAAATGTAATGGTGAGTTAAGGGAGTAAGAGTTATTATTGTTTAACTGTTATCATAGAATCAGACCTAAAAACCTCAGGATAAGTATCCTCCTAAGAGCCAACAAAAGAAGCAGAAATTCAAATTTGGAAAATCAGAGCCATGAAACGGAGTTACGTCCATTTCAGCATGTAAATAATATGCATGTGGGATGCCTATATCCTAGTCCTGCATACACACACAGTTAAAAGCCTTTCTTTCCTCCCCAGCTTTACAAAACGCTGAAGACGTTCCTTGTTATCTCATGTAAGTATCATCATCTGAAGTTTGGAGCAACAGCACCTCCACAGTTACTTTGGTGTAATCAGCTCCTGAGAGCATAACCAGTCTTGAATTTGTGAGCCAGCACCCACCTCACCTGCTGTGGTCTGGTACTTTAGCAGGTGGATGTGGTGAACAGAACAGAATTTCCCAAAGGATGCCTGAATTGGGGCTGGTTATATAAATAGGTGTTACGCTGCTTCCCAAACTAGGGCATTTGAATATTCTTTACATAATTCTTCCTCTTAGCTTTCATCCCCAGCTCAGCTACATCATACATCATCAAGATCTCTTGTGGTCAACTCACAGACAGGGAAAACCTTGCTAGCTTTTGTCTGAGGTCAGCACGTAAGTGTAATTTTGTGTGAGGTCAGCATGTAAGCGCATTCCCTCTTGCAGGTGAAATGCAGAACCAGTGTTCCAGCCATCGCCAGTGCTCAGAGCCGGACTGCTCCTCCCCGTGCCGATTGCCAAAACAGCCATTGCACACCACAGACCAAGCTTTACTCGGCCATCACCAAGTCAGGGGACTCGGGCTAGGGACCCGTTTGTGATGTGTTACCTAAAGTATTCCTTGGAATACTTACGTGGGTCGTGAGGAATTCTCCAGGCACCCAGGTGCAGCAAGTGAGAAATGCACTCAGAGCTGCACTGCACAGCAGCCTTTTGAGAAGTGAGCAGGCTGCTTGTTTGCATCATGACAGTCTCGGGTGTGAGATGAGTGACATTCATTTTGGGTTAAGGAGAAGAGGCTGCTTTCCCTCACTGCAATAAATTCTGAATAACCACCCCATGGTTGAATTAGTTGGATAAAAGAGACCTGTCCTGTCACACAATGCAAGTGTGTTGGTTCACCTCAACAACCATCAGTCCTTGGTTATTCAAGTCATGTGTAGCCAATTTGAAAATGCCGAGGCTGCCACTAAGTATTTAGAATTGCGCTTAAATATGCACCAATGAATATATACAATTCAAATGTCTATCTTGGCATGGTTTGTAATGATGAAATTAAATATGATGTGATATTAACAAAAAATCCCACACCCCAAATCCTACAAAACATGTTTCAGTCAGGAAATATTAGTAAACAAAATACTTTCCTTGGAGGAATTTATTGCTGTATAACTGAGATCCTAAATGCCTGACTCACTTTTTATCAAACCGAATTTTCAATATTCTCTACTTTTAACTGACCATAAATTCGAAGGATTTCAGTGGGATAAATTCTATTTGGCAAGCACTTTTTAAATTCTGATTTTAGTCGTATTATATAAGTCCCTTAAGAAGACACTCAATAATGATTTCAGACTGAGAAATATAGTGACTAGTCTTAACAATGCCCTTGTGACATACTGAAGCCACTGCAGCATAAGAGAAATGGATATATTACTCTTCAAGCCTTTGTAACCCCTGAGATTTTTATCAGAAACATCAATTTAAGATGCCAGAGAAAGAAATAATTGAAAGCAAACATGAAAATGCCATCAAAAGGGCTTGCCCCAAAGCGTGATGGAATCAGCAGAAATCTCTCAGTATACTGCAGTCTATCTTGGAGCCCTAAATCAAAATTCACATCTTTCCAAGATCTGTGACAAAAGGGTGGCAAAAGCAAGTGGAAAAGCCTATGAAGCAGTCAAGACAAGAAAGACAAGAAAATTAATATTATTTACTATTATGACTTATTTCCAAACATTTCCTGAAAATCTACCCTTTTTCTACCCCATTAAGAACACCTCATCCCACTTAAGGAAAAAAGTGAATATGTATCATCTTTCAGACTTTGTGATCTTTCAGTTTTCAGTTGAACATTGTTTGCTGTCCATGTAGCTTCTACCCAGTGCAGGGAACACTGCTGCTACATGTTATTTGCTGGATATTTTTGATTTCTGATTCCAACAGCTTTAGGAGGTTCAACAGTTTTGCAGGAACCTCTTCAAAGCTGCCCTGAATGTCCAGAAAACAACAGGTAGCAAACAGGTAGAAAAAGCCAAGGGGAACAATCTCCTTATCCTTCCACATAGAACAAAGGGAGTTCATTCTGTCAGACTTCTTGGAAATAATTTTGTGGCATCCATCCTTACAGTTATATTTGAATGACCCTTTGAAGTAGATAAAGCCCACAGGAATTCATAATTCTCATAGCTTAATCAGGAAGCAAAACTGGATCTTTCATCTTTAAAGCTTTGAGATATCCCTGAACTCAGTCAAATTTTCCAAGCTCTTCAACTCTTCATAGATTTCAACTGTGAAGGAAAAACATATGGTTTTTTCCTTCAACAGAGTAGTCAGAATAAACTTTTTTTTTAGTGCCCTTGCTTAATTCTGAGGAACTTTTCTGTAACTAGCTATACTAACATAAAAGAGTTATGGAAAATAAATCAGATGGGTTTATCACTGCTGTGCATTTATGAATGTATTTTTATATGGCTTAGGTATGCACAGGACCTGATAAAATGCCCCAAGAGTCCTGAAGAAATTTTCTGACGTGGTTGCCAAGCCTCTCTTGATGATATTTAAAAAATCACAGCAGCAAGATAAAGCTCCTGGTGACTGAAAAAATGGAAACATCACACCCACTTTTAAAATGGATAAAAAGGAGGACTCTGGGGACTACGGCCCTGCCAGCCTCATCTCTGTGCCTGAGAAAATTGTGGAACAGATCCTCCTAGAAGTTCTGCAAAGGTACATGGACAGGGAAGTGATTCAGGACACCTTTACCAAGGGTACATCTGCCCTGAAGATGAGGGATGGACCATGTCTCCTGTGAGGAAAGGCTGAGACACTGGTTCAGTCTGGAGAAGGCTCCAGGGAGACCTCACTGCAGCCTTTCAGCATTTAAAATATACAGACGATGGGAAGAGACTTTTAGCAGGGCCTGGGGGAATGGTTTTAAACCAAAAGAGAGTAGCTTTAGACTGGGCCTACGGAAGAAATTGCTTACACTGAGGATGGTGAAGCCCTGGAGCAGGTTGCCCAGAGAGGTATGGGATGCCCCATCCCTGAAATAGGTCAGGCTGGATGGGGCTCTGAGCAACCTGGGACAGGGGAATTGGAAAAAATGTCCTTAAAATGTCCCTTCCAACACAAGCAATTCTATGATTCTGTGATTTTCATTTAACTGCACATGGACAGACATCAGGGACAGGACAATAAGAAGTAAAACAATGCCCAGAGCAAGACAGCTGCTGAATAAATATTTTAAAGAGAACAACTGATGGAAAATTAATTGATAAATATCTATCTAAATATTTAAAGCTGTGTTTTAAAAAAAAAAATTAAGAATGTACTCTGGAAATTTTAGGATTTTGAAGTTATATAGTTATCAATGGGCAAACTTGTAATCCCACCAGGTTGAAAAGGAGTTGTTTTGGGTTGGTTTTTTTTGTTTTTTTTTTTTTTTTTAAGAACTAGGATTCAATCTTAAACTAATTAATTGCCAATGTACAAGTCCATCCTTCCACTTATGGACACTGTAGGTGTTAACATTTATTTATCCAATGGAAAACTAGAGTGCATTAGGTAATCTAAAATCCCAGGTAGTAATTCTAAATCATAGTACTCTATTTCTTTGTGTGCACTATGACTACATTGATGCACAACATTTGTCATGGTAGTTATTCTTTACAGCTCAGTAATCAGGGATTTAATATTTAATAAGCAATATCATACCAGTAACAAGATACCTTGAATACTCTGATGTTTTAATAATGGTAAGCATGGTAAACAAAGGGATATAAGGCTTATTGAAAGAGTTTGTTTTCTTTTGTGGTTTTCTTGTTGCCTTTTCTTAACCAGACCAGCTGAGCTAGTTGGCTGACAAAAACAAACTTTCAGTCACACAAGGCTTTATTTTAAATGCTTTCTTTCTTGAAAAGATTACAATTCTAATGTCACTAACAGATCTAAACGGAGAGCAGCAAAGTTCTTAGAAATGTGTATGTATGTATGTATATAAATGTATGTATGTATTTACACACATGTATCATTGTGTAAATGTAGATCTATTTGAGAAGGAAGATGTTAAAGCTGTGGAGTAAACAGAGTATTTGAATTTGTCCCTTGGCTGTGGAACAAAGCCCTGTGACTTTGTCCCATTTGGTACCAAAGCCGACACCAATCAGCTACTAAGAGAATTCACAGCTCAGTTTTGCATACAAATATACATATGCAAATATTCCTGGGTCTGGAAGAAACAATGCAGAACCACTTCATTGAATATTTTAAGGTCAAATTAAGCATCCATGGCCCACCAGGAGATTCTGGGAGACAGAAATTGAAGCACATCTCTCACCATCAATTGGGATGCATGGAGGAACCCTAGACAAGACAGCTCTAAAATGGTATTTTTGAGAACAAAATAATGTAAACTCCCAATCTCAAACTGGAACAAGAATTTTTGTATCTCTTTCCGTGCAAAGCAAGGATTTTTATTTAAAACAGCTGTCATCAAAGCTGTCACACTGCTCAGCTACTCATTTGTTCTACACAGCCATTCACATTTTCCTTCATCTCTTTTGAGAAATTGAACCTTTTTAAGGAGAACTCTCTCTGGTCAGTCAATCTCTCTATAATCAGAGAATCAAGCTCAGCAGAATGGTAAATCTGTACTCAGAGGTCAGAAATTAAGATTTCAAACTTTATAGCTCCCTCATCATCTAGACCTGTAGTCAGGGAATTATGAGTGTCCCCAAGGTCTCTCATAAGCTGCTCTCTTCTGCTATTTCTTCACTTCCTATATTTCTACCCTAGAATGCAGTACAGCATAACAACCTGCACAATGCCACAAAATATTGTTCAAACCAGAAAGCTTTAAATCGTCATTTTCATTGTTTATCTGAACATCTTATATAAAACATCTGTGTCAAAAGGGCTGCAGAGCATCTGTTTCTATTAAAATTACCAGTCAATTGCATGAATTCTGTGTAAACCTAACTTGCACAAATTGAAGTGCCTGAAAGAAAGGTTTAACTCAATTTCTATAATTGTAAAAGTCCAGGTATAGCATCTACCCTCCCTCTGAAGGCAAGGACAGATCAGCTTATAGATTTCATTACTTCTGCACTCTTGAGGATATGCCCTAGAATCAGATGGTCTAAACAGAGCCCTCAAATTCAGCCTCCATTCCTCAACCCTGCTGTGCAAGCTAAGCTGCACTGACATTACAAGAAATTTTCCCAAGCAGCTGGTGACAAACAGCTTTCTAATAGAAAATTGTCCCTAAAAATAAATATACTGCATCTACAGATACAAAATTATACGTAGGCATGTATACAAAGAATAGAAAACCTCTGACCTTGGGTCTCAGAAAACCAACTGCATTTCACAAATACAGGGATATCCTACTTTTTGTAAATTTATCTTTCAGTCACTGTCTTCACTCACTGATTTTGCATAAACTGTCCTTAAATAATGAGCAGTCTTTCTATTCTATAATGAGGAAGCTTTTACTGATTAAGAATCCTTTTGATTAAGCAATGATGTAATTTTAATTATTTCCCCACCATGGTCCCACCATTAATTCTTGGGAGGTAACATACCTCCTGGTATGGTAACATATCTGCTGGGTGTCTGGCCTCTGGTCCTTGCTTTATCTCCTACTTGTTCATCCTAAAAGCTTCTTCTAATTGAGTGAGAAAAAAATCAGGCAGGCAAACATACACATGGCTGTACACAGTCTGACTCTCTCCACAGCACACTGCTTACACACAAATGAGATAAAAATTACCTCTAAGATGAAAAGCACTTTTCATCTTGAAACCCGATTTCCTATCACATAGCACTTTCCAAAAATATGTTACTTTTGAGATATATGTGATTTCAACACTAGCAATGCCAGCTGAAGTGGGAACTTTGAAAAAATGTTAAGCTCAATCAGTTTGATCATTAAAGTTATGCAAATGGAAAAACATTCCTTCCTTTTAAACTTTGCTATGTTTTAGTTGCAATCATAAGATTCAAGAAGTGAGGATGGTGCTTAAATGTCAGAAACTTGACAGCATCTTAGCACAGTCCCAGCTGTGGTCAATAGTAGAGCTTCTCTGTATTTCAACAGGAACATGATTTTACTCACAGTCTTCACAGAGCAACTGAGAACTGGCTCCAGCTTAAATGTGAAGCTGTAGAAATTACTTGTCTGTAGGAGCAGGCAGCAGGTTTCACTGCATACCACCAGTTCAGAAGTTCTGAAGTAAAATATACAAACCAAAACCAGTGCTGGGCTTCTACCACACATCACAGGATGCCACTGTTAGAGCACACTGGTGGTTCTTGCTGTCCTGCAGCACAAATGCCAGGTTCCTCCAGGAGAGCATGCTGCTGCAGAGGGTCCTCCAAGAGGTTTATCTCTGCCACGATCTGCCCATTTCAAATATATGAAGAATAATTTGTATAGATAGCATGGAAACTCCTCAGGAAGTGCTCAGGACCTGTGCTGGAGGATATCCCCCCTAAAGCCAGCAGAAGTGTTCCTGCTTAAGCAGAGAACTTCCCTGAGTTATGGCAAGGGGGGTTCCTTCCCTGTGACATTCCAGGCCTTTATTTACTGAAGCAAAAAGATCTTCAATTAGGAATTATTTTCTTCATTAAAAGCCAGTAGGATAAGGAGAGTTTCCATTTGATGAAATACAATTGTCCTATCATCTTCCTTATTCCAAAGAGATTTTTAGTTTGCCAGCTATTGTGTCTACTTCATTTTTAAAAACCTATATAAGCAAACAAAAAACAACTAAAAAGAAAGTGGTTGAATTATAAACAGGAAAATTCTGAAGAACAAATTTTTGAAATCATTGCTCCAGCATATGACCTATAGCAGTGCAGTAATTTAGCCTCATGTTTTATACTGAGTCTATTGAATTAAAGAGATCTTTCTTATTAATATAAAATATTCTATATCCTTATTATCAAGCTGCTATGAAGTTTGCAATTTGGTCAAGTAAATTGGTCAATAGATTGGTCAGATCTACTGTAAGAGCCAAATATTGATATGCCTACAGAATCCGAATTACCTGTTAGCTCAAAAGTCGCCATGCTCATTTTTATAAAATAAGAAGATACTTAAATGACTCAATTTTAAATGTAAAGTCCTCATCACTCTGCAAATCCTGGAACACATTGAGAAGATAAATCTATGGCCAATGCAGCTGAAAACCAAAACCAACTAGAAAGATAGAGAATTTTTTTTGTTTTGTTTTTTTTTTTAAGAATAGATTAAAACTGAGAGCAAGAGTAATTGCAATCTCTTTTTTTTTTTTTTTTTTTAACTTGGGTTTTTTTCTCAGGCGATGTATTTTTCTAGCTGTTTCCCTGAAGCTATGCAGGTGAGTGTTTATATTAAAATACTGTAAAATATACTCAGGTATACAGAGCTTGCAGTTTTATTCTAATTTGTTTTCCTTCAGGTTCAGAATTACCAGCAAAGAAAATTGCTCTAATTGCAATGCTTTGCATACAAATAGTGATTAGAGCTTAGTGGATTGTTAGGACATGACACTGCACAACTTATTAGATCAAACTGAGTGAAGACTACACCCTACCAATTTTTAAATAAAGGTAAAGCAAGTTAAGTTCTCTCCGAAAATATAAATATTTATGACCCAAAATTATGGGTGTCAACCTGCCAGGCACATTACATGATCCCTGATTCAGAACTATGAAATAATCATTGGGAAAAGCTGCCACAATATAGGATGTCATTAAAGCCCAACA